AGTTGGGATCTCCCTGGGGTTGCAGTGATGGGAATTCCCTGCTCAGGTCACACAGGGCTCAGGGTGGGCTCCACGTTTGTCAGGGCAGGTTTCAATCAGGGTTGGAAAGGTTTGTTCCTGTATTTTCTCTTCTTTTGTGTGTGTGGGGTTGTTTATTATTTTGGGGGCAATGATGAGGCTTTTTACAAGCAGGGAAAATTTTCATCAGTAACTCCAAGTATTTCTCTTTGCCGACATGAAGACAAAGTCTAATGCTAAAATGTGACTTGAATTTATGAAAAGGAAAATAAAAATGTCTGGTTGGTAGAGGGGCAGAGCACAATGATCCCTCCCTTTCCCTCCTGCAGTTTGAATAAACCTTGAGGGTCAAAAAGGAACTCGGAACTGGACATGGCTGTGGACAAGGACATGGAAAACCAAACCACTCTTGCTTTGCCCTTGCTTTGCCAGCAGAGCTCAGTGTTTCTCCTGCTGCTGCAGGGTTTGGGGCACAGGAACTCCTTTACTACTCTCAGGTCTTCTCACTCATCACTTACTACTCTCATCTCTTCTCACCCATCAGCTCAGCTCAAAAACTTGATTGACCTCAGATTTATTTTAATTACGTTGGAGATTTGCTTGGAAGCTTTTTCTTCTCTTGATGCTTTATGCAACATTGAAGATGAAGTGATATCCAACACCTGGCAAATAATAACTTTCTAAAGAGGAATCTTTGTCATTTGAAAAAAGCATGTGCTGTGGGAATTATTGGAATAATTTTAATTAAAACTCTTTTCTTTTCCTTGCTTATATTCCCATTTGCACGTGCTGCTTGTGTTCAGAATCAGGGGCTGGAGTGAGCCTGGAGCTGTTGGAATTTTCCTGTGGGGAGGCAGGAGGGAATGTAGCTGAGGGGAGGGAATGGAGTTGAGGCAGGACAATTCTGTATTGGCCACACTCAGAATAAGCTCCATTGCACAGAGGGATTAAATCCTGACAAAACCAAACTGAAGGTGTTCCCACCCCACCCTCCTCATTCCACACAATCCCAGACTGCTTTGGCTTGGAATGCACCTCAACCCCCCCCAGTGCCAGCCCTGCCATGGCAGGGACACCTCCCACTGTCCCAGGGTGTCCCAGCCTGGCCTTGGGCACTGCCAGGGCTCCGGGGGCTGCTCTGGGCACCCTGTGCCAGCCCTGCCCAAAATCCCTGCCCTGTGTCCATGTGAAGCCATTCCCCATTTTCCCTTGTCCCTCCAGAGGGTTCCTGGTTGCACCAGCTCAGCTCCAGATGATTTTCCAGCAAGCCCAGCCCGTGCTGTGCCCTGGAGCTGCCCGTGGGGAGCAGCAGGGTCTGCTTTGTGTCACAGGAACATCTGCCATGAAATGAAAAGCTGCTGTGCTTCCTCAGCCTCCTGCTGCCCTGGATTTCCCTTCTCCCGTTTCTGTGGGGAAAGGACAGATAACTCTGCCAGCAGGGAAACTCTGAATGAATTGTTCCATGATGTTCTTGGCACGTGGAATATCAGCCTGAGGCTGGCTCTGAGCTTGGCCCTGCCGGCTCCTGGTGTCTCTTTAGGGAGGCTGTGGGAGAATGCAGTGAGCTCCTCCACAATGATGATCACAGTTGGTCTCACATTGCCAGACATTCAGGGCCTGCTTGGCCAGTGCTCAGCACAGGGTGGCATCGTTGGGGTGTCTGTGCAGGGCCAGGGCTTGGACTGGGTGATCCCTGTGGGATCCAGCTCAGGATCTTCCATGATTCCCTCCCTGTGAGCAAGAGAGAATCCTTTGGGATCTTTCACTATCTCCTGGTTCATGACTTCCCTGGAGCCGCCCCTCTGCCCCTGCCCTGGGTTGGATTTCCCACATTCCATCTCTCTGTAGCCCACGGGGTGTGGTTTTCCCTGGATTTGATGTTGCAGCTTGGATTCAGATTCCCTGCACTTGCAGGGCAATTCCTTTTCCGTGCTGAGGCCCAGATCCCTCGTGGTGGCCTTTGTCCCTGGGAAACAAAGGAGCAGCACTAAGCCTTGAATCCAGCCCAGCTAAGCCCGAGGCAGGGCCTGGCTCCCGGCCCCAGCCTTGAGTGCTGGGGTCAGCCTGCTCCCTCCCAGCCTCCCATTCCCTGGATTTGAGCTTTCTCTGGCATTTCTCACTGTGTTTGATGAAGGGTTTGTGTTCTGCAGCCAACACTGAGCCACATTAGTCAGAAGAGTTCTTAGAAACTCCGGCTTTCACTTACAGGAAAGTTTTGTCACTGCACTCCTGTGTCCCCAGGGCAGGAACTCGGCACCCAGGAATGCCAGGCTCCCAATTGCCCCTCCAGGGCCACTCTGGGAGCTGTGGCCCTGCCCTCACTGTGCCATGGCCATGGGCACAGGGATGTGGGGGTGCTGCAGGGCTGGGAACCACAGCTCCCATCCCACAGATTTATGGACTGGGTTCACTCCAAGGCACAAACTCCAGATGCCCTTCAGTCCCAGCTCAGCTTCCCAACATCCCCATGAATCACTGGAATGAGCCTGAGCCCCATGAGTGCTCTGTAATTATTTTATCTGCTGCTGTGTGCAGTAGCTGACTGACAAAGGCAATTTTTATTCCTCCCTTTTATCATCTCCCTTTTATCATCTAATCACTAGGAAAATATTGATTGTCTCCTGTCTTGCTAAAGGATGTTTGGAAATGGAGTTGGGGCTGTGGTTCCCACCCTGGCAGCCTGACAGAACCATGGAATATCCAGGGCTGGAGGGACCCCCAGGATCCCCCAGTCCAGCTGCTGGCCCTGCACAGTCACCCCAACACTCCCACCCTGTGTCCCACCAGCTGGGTCCTGGAATGCTGGAGCAGGGCAGCAATTGGAAGTTGTTTCCTCCCAGGTTTTCAGCCCTCATTTCTAACTCTTTAAACACCACGGAAAATTCATTTTCCTTCTCTTGCAAGCCCCGTTTTTCACACACATCCCACCCTGATGGATCTTTATCCAGGGCAGCTGCAGGGCTTGGGAAGGAGAGTTTAACCCTTAGGGTGAGTTTTTTTCCAGTGTTTCCCTGTCTGCCTGCATTTCCAAGCTGCCTGTTGGGTTCTCACCAGCACATTGCTGACATTGTTACTGCTGACTTTTAATGCCTCGTGTGTTTCACAACAGCAATGGGAGATGTGTGAGGAGAATTCCATTTCAGTTGGGAATATTTCCCAAGGGAGCATGTCACAAAGGCTCTGAGAATGAAGGAATTATATTTAGATGTTGTTAATCATTTATAATCATTTATCTCTTCTCCTCTTGCAGGCTTCCATGAGGACAGATGAACGTAAAAGGAATTCTCTCTCTTGGACACACAGGGAAGAGCAGAACCAGAGCCATTCCAGCCACAAGCCATGTGCTCTGTTCCCAGGCTCTGTGTCAAACCCATGGGCTGCTTTTGGGGAGGGATTTCATCCAAGCAGCCAGCTCTCAACTCATTTCTGCAGCATCTTGGATCAGGAAATGGGAAGTTGGGATTCAGAATTTCGGGATTGCACAACAAGCACTTGTCTGAAGAGGGGGGTGCCCCAGGCTGTCACATGGAGCTGCTCCTGCTCGTTCCCAGCTATTTGGCTCCTCGGGTTTCTGTGGTTGCTTTTGGGATGTGCTGTGCTGTCCCTGGGCTCAGGATGTGTTTCCCTTGGGGCCGTGTCCTGCCTGTGCTGGGGGAGAGCTCCCCTTGTCCTTCCCCCCTTCCCTGAGGGGACAGCAATAACAAGGGACCTCAAATATCACCCAGTGCCACCCCTGCCATGGCAGGGACACCTGCCACTGGCGCGGGCTGCTCCCAGCCCCAGTGTCCAACCTGGCCTTGGACATTTCCAGGCATCCAGGGGCAGCCACAGCTCCCCCAGCCTCTGCTCCCAGAAATGTCTGAACTTGGAGGACTGTGCTGCTCTCCTTTTCCAAAGGTTTCTTTTGGACTCACTTGGGTTCCTAACACCAAATCTCACATGAGGCACAGGCAGCAATTGCCAGGAGCTTCAGCTGGAGCTGTGCCTTTGCCAGCAGCCACAGCTTTGCATTCCCGGCATGGATTCTCTGGAAGCTCTTCCAGGAGCTCTGGCAGGAGCTGAGGAGAGCTCAGAGCCCTCCTCCCACCTCCAGCCCCTGATGGAGCAAAGCAGAAGGTGAAGCACCACGGAGCACTGGTGGGGCTCAGCTCCACCTCAGCATTGCTCAGGAGAAAAGGGGAATCTGCAAAAGGAGTTTTGCTGCCCCAGGCTCTGGGCTGGGCTGGAGGGGAGCTCCAGGACACCTGGCAGGAGGAGCCACGGTGGGTTTTGGATTTGGGGTGGGAGGATCATGAGCAGGAGTGGATGGAGCCCAGGCTGGGCACTGCCATCCTGCAGGAACAGCCTGTCCCTGTCCCAGCTTGCCCGGGGGGCCTAAAATGCTCAGAGACACTTTGCAGCTGGCAAAACTCTGATCATTTCTGATCCTAAATCCTGAATTAAGTTCCTTTCTTCTGTTGTGTCTGAAACCCATCCTGCATCTGCCTGTGACTTACTCCTTTTCCCTTGGAAACAAATTCCTTTCTGGCTTGGCCACGGGGCTCAGGAGAATTAATGGAAACTCCCCTGAGACTCCAAGAAACAAATGCCTGCATTTACAGCAAAGGTTCAACTCAATTGACTCCATATTAAATCCATTCCTCTAAGAAAAATCCAAACAAAAGCACTGGGCTCCGAGGGGGTGTGGGGAGGGCAGGAGCCGATCCCACCACTCCCTGATTTTCTGTGGGTGGCTGGAGCTGTTCCATTCCGTGGTGAGCAATGAGCTCTGTTTTCCTGGGCACTCTGTTCGGTGGCAGATAATGGCACCAGCGCTATCCTCTCAGGGGTTCGAGCACCCTGAGCTGAGTTTTCTCACCTTGTTCCTCTCTGGCACCGAATTTCCCCCTCAGGGAAGGCATCGACTCCATCTCCTGCAATCCCAGCTCCTGCAGTTCCCTGTGCTGCCTTCCCTGGCTGCTGCGGAGCCTTTCTGCCTCTGAGGCTCCGAGCAGAGCCCTTCATTTGGTGAGTGGGAGCTGCTGAAGCTGGGGCTGGGTTTGCCCTTCCAGGGCTGCTGCCAGAGCTGAGTGTGGGCTGGGAGTGAGGGACCTTTTCCAGCCGAGAATCCCAGGGTGCAGCCTGTGCCTGTTCCTGTTTTCCTGATGGTTTTTCCTTCCAGCAGCGGCAGTTCCTGAAGAGACCCCAGCCCCAGGGCCACCATCCTGCTGCTGACAGGCAGAGTCACCTCCCTTTGCTGGCACTGCACTCGTCCTGGCTCTGCAGGAGAGGTGGCTCTGGCTGCTGAGGGATGAGGGACAGTGATGGATAATGATGGATGATGGATAATGATGGATGATGATGGATGATGATGGATAATGCTGGACAATGGTGGATGATGGACAATGATGATAGACAGTGATGATGGACCATGATGGATGATG